TAGAACTAACACTAGACCTAGAACTAGAAACATTCGGGTTTAGCCGCACGTCTCTCAAGACGGCTAAACCCGAATGATTCTAGTTCAAGGTATAGTACTAGTTCTAGTAACAGTGTTAGTGTAAAACTAGAACTAAGACTAGTTCTAGGTCTAGGTTTTAATTGTTATTCAGTGTTAGATTGTTGTATATCTTTATTGAACTAAAAATAGAACTAACTAATAATCCATCATATCGTTATTTTACTGTACAACATTCTCTACATTCAATACTATGCATAAAATTTATTAATTTTTAACGATTCAATAATTAAAATAATTATAAGCTATTATAGCAAGCAATTTTAGATTTCAACATTCAAAGTAAAAACAAATTTAAAAACAAAATGATTTGCCTATATTTTTTAATTAACGTGGTTAGCAGTCCATTAGCTAATGAGTAAAGATTTTTTAATGAATTTTAAATGTTTTATTAAAATTGATCATCCATAAAGTAAATCCTGTATAATTTTTGAAGTAAAAAAAGATCATTGGAACCGATGTCAACTACAACCATAAAAAAAACTTTCTAATGGAAACAGTGCGGTTCGTTCGTATTCGAAATCGACATTTATTACGACATCCACACACCACACGCACGGACGAACGAAATAACGAACGAATCCAAGCAAAGAACGTCGGTTGGGAGGTTACCAAGAACACGCACGATTGCCATATTTCGATACAGTACGTAACGAGATGATTATACGGCGATTAGTAACGTCGCCGCTTATGAATATGTAATTAACCTTCCCCCTTATACCCGCATAGTTCCCCCATTATAACATACTACGCACACATAACGAAATAAAAAGTCATCATAAATAACCTCAACACGAAATCGAATCAAAGTCGATGAAATAAAAAAAATAATGACGTCACGAAAATCTCCTTCGTAAAGTTGGCCAAGTTCCAACATCCTTCTCTCTCTCTTTAAAGTAAAAGTAACGTGTGTATAGAAATTGATTATTATTAATGGGACCGTTACGCTGCGCCGACTTAATTTATTGAGAACGGAGTGCCGAGCACTCCGCAATGGAAATGGAAATGTTGGTGGAGATTGAGATTGAGAAGACGCCGTCGTGGTAATCGTAGTAGTCGGTTTGTGGTCCAAGAACGAAGAACGGACGTCATCTGTCGGTCGGCGCGCAAAACGTTGTCGGCCGTCGGCTGCTTGACCCACTTTCTGCAAGAACTTGCACCTTGGTTCCGACCACGACGACGTTTAGTTAGATAAGTAGAATCGTTGCCGCCACCACCACAACTTCGGTCGCCGATTTGGGTTTGTACGCGCAAGTTCGTCACGACTCACGGTGTTTCAGAGTTGCTATTCGAGTGTAGGCGATGTTGTTGTACTCTATAGTGTCATTGAAATTCGCAATGGAGAAAGTAAAAGTTGAGTTTTACTTTGGTCTTGCAATTTTATGTTCAAAATGTGTTTCTCAGAAAATTATGCCAAAATGATTTGAACAACATTTTTTAACTGATTAGGTCCGACCAAGAAAAAGAAGTTGTTTTGTCATTTCACGTTTCTAAAGATTTTTGAGAACATATTCCTAATTACTAGTTCTGTAATATTTGTAAATTTACAACAACCACCAGTCTGAGTTACTACGAAATCTATTTCATGCATCTTAGGGTTGTTTCGAAGAAATGCAGAATGTATTTGATAAATGATATCCAACACGAAATGCATTCCCAGAAAAATAGGAATGCGAATTATGCAAAATGATAGACTGGCATACTTCAGTTTGTATTTTTTGTATTTTACACCACTTCGATCAACAATTCTAATGATAAGCTAATGAACATTGTTACATCTATAATGTCAATTAAAAGCAAGCCACTTATTTCTATTTGATATCAAAAACTTTTGCTACTTTTAAGATGCCGTCAAATACCGATTTATAATTTTGCCTTATTCTCAATACCTTTATGATATTGTGTTATGAGTGTTTTGTCGCAGCAGTTTTGTATTTTTATATTTGATGATTCAAAGTTTGAAAGAAGGTGTGTGTATCCATACACATTCTATTGAATACGCTGACAACGAACTGGTTAATATCTTTAGTGAGATGTACATTATATTGTCAAATGATTCTAAATGTGGTCGATACCTCATTTCAATGTTCAACCTCATTCCAATTTGATACCTCTTCTGACAACATTTCAGAAATGAAAATTGGATCAATGGTTCAATCAATACCTTTCCAAGTTCAAATTGGCATTAATCAAATTCAAAATGGAATTAAACAAAACCAATTTGCCAACTGTCATAATCAAATTGGCATTAATCAAAATCAAAATGACATTAATCAACATCAAAGTGGCATTCAATAATTTAACAAAACAATCTTTGATTCGTGATTAACGTTTTCGTGATGTTGTTAACTCAAAAGGTGACATCCTCCATGTTTAAAATAGAGGTGATGTGCTTTTTAATTACGGCTATAAACCTGTTATAGTTAGTTACATTAATTTTTGGAATATTGTTCCTAATTATATTTTCTAATTTTCGAATTCTGTACTCTGTTTGAGACAAATTTTCTCTTTGTAATTGCATTTTCGAAGTCGGCCTTTACACCTGCTTACAAAATTGATCAAGCGTGTTCACTTGGGTTTAGCATTGGACTTAGCTTTACAAGTTTATGATGAAGAAATTCTTGTTGGTTTTGTTTAATGCCATTTTGAGTTTGATTAGTGCCAATTTGAACTTGAAATGGTATAGTTGTTTAGATAAGTTTTGTTATTCAAATAATATTTCAAAATTTCTATCAACATTATTGTGATTGTCGTTTTCATTTCTTTAATTGCATATAAACATGCTTTACCAAGTGGAATTTAAAAAAATATATATATAAGAAAAACTCCACATCAACGAATTCACAGAATTCTTTATACATTCTATGTGCAAAATAAATCATTTAAAAAATGTAAATACTTGGTAACTACCAATTCCATTCTACATGATTTTCGAACGTTCTTATGTAAAACATCAGCTTTATATTTATCAACCTTATCTATAATATTTCAAGATTACAGTATGTATTATCTTCTCCAACAGCAAAACATTTTTTCTAGTGATTTTTCTAATTGATTTCTTCCAATGTATTAACAATAAATGAATCAATGCAGAATATTTTTTATATATCTCACTTCAAGCCACTGTCCTTCTAATGTTCATTTAAGTTTTGCCAATGTACGTTTGGTAAGACTAGAAATATGAAGTAGGTGCCACAAACTTTTATGTTTTTTTTTCTTGGGCTTCAAAATGTGCCGTTTGCAATGCACGTTGATAATTACATGTTCATGGACTATGTATGCATCTGATAGTATGAATAGACATAACTCCAAAAAATCTAATCGATGATATTTATCTAAATCTAGATTTATTCTCCTTGCTTCGGCGTTATCAAAGCGCAAATATTGAAAAATTGTATTAAACCTGCTTCTAGTTATGGTCTTGTTACATATGGAGCGTTAACAACTTCTTCATTCAATAAGAAGTAGAAAATCCAATACTTCGAAATTTTTACTTGAATTAGTATATTTTAGATGAACTACTGCATTAGCTCATTGGACCACGTGGTTGCTAATGTCATGTCTAAAGAATTGGCAAAAACTACTAG